GCGCACTCACACACGAACACACACACACACGCGCGCGCACTCACACACGAACACACACACGCGCGCGCACTCACACACACACAAACACGCACACACACACATACACTCACACACACACACGCTCAGACACACACATACACACGTACACACACACGTACACACACACACGCGCGCGCACACACGCCCTCACACAAACACGTACTCACACGCACTCACACACACACGCGCGCACTCACACACACACAAACACGCACACACACACATACACTCACACACACACACGCTCATACACACACACATACACACGTACACACACACGTACACACACACACACGCGCGCACACACGCCCTCACACAAACACGTGCACTCACACGCACTCACACGCACTCACACACACACGCGCACACTCACACACACACGCGCGCACACACACACACGCGCGCTCCCGCTCCGTGAATGCGCACAGTGTGGCTCAGAGTGGGAGCAGCAGCCCAGGGCTGGTGGTGCCCCCAGCGCCTCCGGGGGGGGGGGGGTCTCCTCGTGACGCCGCCGAGGTCCGCTGGGGCTCAACTCCTGGCGGCAGCCGCCGCTGCGAAGGCGGCGGGGGGTGCGCAATGAGTCGCGTTAAATCCGCGTCAGGCTCGCACTTACACGTGGCAAAATTCCAGCGCTGAGAATTACGAGGTGGCATGTTTAAAGTCACGATAAAGTGGTTTGGGGAAGGATCGCGTGAAGTATAAATGTTGTGTCGTAACCCCTCCACCACCCGACACAGCCGGTAGGGCTTGTCACGTAAACAACGCGCCTGTTAGTGACTACGTCAGCCCAGCGGTGTGTTGGAGAGTAAATCCACAACACTGACAATTTGAGTTGTACGACGTTTCGCTGGTAATTACATCAACCAGCATCATCGGGCGATTTGCCAGAATAGTGAAGCCATCCACCTGCTTCCGGTCTTAAATAGAACATCAGCAGGATGACGTCATCACTGAGCCCATCATGTGCAGAAATCAGAGGCGGAGTGGGTGGGGGGGGGTATTGTAATGATATAATAGATTAGTAATAATGTAATTAGTATGTGTTTCCTCGATAACTAATTGTAAGATGTCTTCTGCTTCCACGCGTTTGTCGCACTCACGTCGGTCCGCCGTCCTTGCCAACCTGGACGTCGCTCTCACGTGGGTGGGTAGGTTGGTGGGTGGGTTGGTGGGTGGGTGGGTTGGTGGGTGGGAAAGTGGGTGGGTGGGTTGGTGGGAAAGTGGGTGGATGGGTTCGTGGGTGGGTTGGTGGGTGGGTGGGAAAGTGAGTGGGTGGGTTGGTCGGTGGAAAAGTGGGTGGGTTGGTGGGTTGGAAAGTGGGTGGATGGGTTCGTGGGTGGGTGGGTTGGTGGGTGGGAAAGTGGGTGGGTGGGTTGGTGGGTAGGTTGGTGGGTGGGTGGGAAAGTGAGTGGGTGGGTTGGTCGGTGGAAAAGTGGGTGGGTTGGTGGGTTGGAAAGTGGGTGGATGGGTTCGTGGGTGGGTGGGTTGGTGGGTGGGAAAGTGGGTGGGTGGGTTGGTGGGTAGGTTGGTGGGTGGGTGGGAAAGTGAGTGGGTGGGTTGGTCGGTGGAAAAGTGGGTGGGTTGGTGTGTTGGAAAGTGGGTGGATGGGTTCGTGGGTGGGTGGGTTGGTGGGTGGGAAAGTGGGTGGGTGGGTTGCTGGGTAGGTTGGTGGGTGGGTGGAAAAGTGGGTGGGTGGGTTGGTGGGTAGGTTGGTGGGTGGGTGGGAAAGTGCCGCCTTGTGACACTGGGCTGGATCGGAGGTCGCTTGGACGGTGTCCAGAGGGGACCCCGGTGGTGTCACCTCCCGTGCACCATCCTCGAGCACAACGGATTGCGCTGCGCTGTGAGAGATCCAATTGGATACTTCGTCTCGTGACGTCACCCCAGCGGCGGTGGTGATGGTGGCATTGGCGTTGTTGGTAGTGGTGATTGTAGTGATGGTGGTGATGGTGGCATTGGCGTTGTTGGTAGTGGTGATTGTAGTGATGGTGGTGATGGTGGCATTGGCGTTGTTGGTAGTGGTGATTGTAGTGATGGTGGTGATGGTGGCATTGGCGTTGTTGGTAGTGGTGATTGTAGTTGCGGTGGTGATGGTGGCATTGGCGGTGCTGGTAGTGACGGAAGTGGCTATGCTAATCTCACAAACGGTGGCATTTCACATCGGGGTGCATCCCAAGTGGAACGTGTTTGCGTTACAATAAAGCAAAACTAAAAGTGCATAAACATTTTATGCAGATTTAAGTCAGGAAACTTTACGGCGCACGCATGGAATGTGCGTGATTCATAACTTCACTCTCTTGTAAACTAGATCTTCACCATGACCCTCGAGAGGGAATTTCTAGTTCAATCTGTTTCAATAACACTTAAATGATGTGCGTATTACGCCACATATTGAATTGCTGATTCACTTTCTCAGCTATTTGCTTTCTCGAAGTTGGACGTGTCCTGAAAGAGATGAATGCCAGTTGTGTGTGGCTGTGGTTACCGAATGTCTTAACTCACGACTGCACGGTTAGATTCTGAGCGATGTTCAAGATCAGCTCATCGCCCCTTGCAATGGTTTGCCATGTGATGGCACTGTGGAAGCTGTCGCTATTACCATCATCATTATTATCATAACTCCTTGGGTCGATAAAATGGGTACCACGTCGTGTGAACCCAACAATGAATTTATATATCAAGCGACTAGCCCCCACGCAACCATGATATCACAGGGCCGTTATCATCCTCTTTAAAACAGATGGCAGATGACATACTTTGGTAATTCGCAACAGAGGGAGGGGCAGTAGCAGAGAAAGAGCGACCTCCCATTGAGCGGAGGTTGACTTTTAAGCAACTCTGTGGACTTTGTTGTTTTACATATAAACGCCGCTCCGTTGGTTCCACTCGACTCCACGTTTACGAGTCGGCCGGGCTCCTCCCTCCGCGAGTAAAATGGGATGACACGCACATTGCCGACGTCTGCTGACCTGGAAAGCCGAAGCGGATTATGGGGGCACGAGATCCGAGGCTTGCACGCCGCGCCCACGCTGGGAGTCCATTAATGAGGCTCGGCGAGCGGGCAACTCGGAGGTGCGCGTGATGACCCCCCCCCAAGCCCCCCCGGCCCCCCCCAGCCGAGCAAGTCGGAGTCAAAGGTTCGGCTCCTAAAACCAAAACTGACACCACGTCACCAAGTGGCGGTGACGTCCCCACGGCGCCCCGTGCCAGGCCAGGTGCACTTTGAGGCGACGCTGGCCCGGACGTCACGGGACAGATCCAGGTGCCATGGGTTGACTGAGATGACTGGCAGATGCACCAACTGTGTCCCCCCCCCCCCTATTGTGCCGACTTGCTGCGTTTTAGCCGCCCGGCGCTCCGCTCGTTGTTGTGAGCGTCGCTTCTCTCTGCCCTCCGTTGCTGTTGGAGGGCGACTGCCTCCGAATTGTCCAGGAGGGTCCTTCACGAGCCTCCTCGTCGTCGACTCCTGCCACAGCTGCGCGCTGATTTCTGCAGGGGAATCTCTGCAGGGATTTCCCCCAAAATGTTCTAAGCTGCTGTAAAGCGGTTAAAGAACTGATGACGTGATCGATCACAACACACGAGGGGAGGGGGGGGGCTCTTGTGTGTGTGTGTTGCATCGTAGCCCAAGTGCAAGATGCGATCGTCTCGCAAACACGGGTACTAAACGTCCCTTAAGTTTGTGGACGGGCAGTGGTTACAAAGACACGCACGTTTCAGCAGAGTTAAATTGATTCGATGTATTTGAATTAGCCTCAATGACAATGGTCCCACCATTGATGACAGTGTCGATATCCGCAGCTCCTGTCAAAATCACTGCCGTATGAAGGCCTGCCCATGCCTCGTTGGTCGCAAGGGTTGTTTGTGTGACCATACTTCACCATGTTGGTGCACTCAGCGGTTCAGATCTTTACTCGCCGCTGTTGTTAGCCCTGGCTGGGGACCAAACTCGGGTCGCTCCTCTCCACGCCAACCCCCTCCACCCTCTCCCATTAGCACTGGAGCTATATACTTTTACACCTGGATTGAAAACTCATTTCTAAAGATCGGTTTTAATGTGTTTAGTTTGTTGTCCTGTCCCCGCACCCCCGATTAGCGCGGTTGGCTACGTACGGTGCGAAAGAAGTTCAACGTACGGGCATCTACATTGTTTAAAGCATCAAAGATAACTTACCAGCATTTTAAGAATGAGTGCAAAGGCTTTGTTTTTGGTTTTATTAATGGACAACACTGATTATTACATTTATTCAAACTGTAAACTTCACAGATTAAGATATTACACTATGTACAAGACGGAAGCATTTGTCATATGACCGCGGTGCGTGTGTGTATACATCGTTGCAAACAGCAGACACATAATTACTGTCAGCAGTGCCTATACACCTACACTGCTTCGATGTACATTTGTACAGCATGTATGTGTAATACACATGTATCAATGAACGTACGTACAATGTACTCATATTTATACACGCGCACACGCACGCACGCGCTACTGTTGAGTGGATACGTAATCTTCTAGCAAGTGCTGTTGGCCAACGATCCACCAAGGCCAACATGGCACGTGATTAGGTTGGTGTGGCCTGCGTAACCCCGACCACGTGGTGTGGCCTGGGCCACCCCGACCACGTGGTGTGGTGTGGCCTGGGCCACCCCGACCACGTGGTGTGTTGTGGCCTGAGTCACCCCGACCACGTGGTGTGGTATGGCCTATACCACCCCGACCACGTGGTGTGGTGTGACCTACGCCACCCCGACCACGTGGTGTGGCCTACACCACCCCGACCACGTGGTGTGGTATGGCCTATACCACCCCGACCACGTGATGTGGTGTGGCCTACGCCACCCCGACCACGTGGCGTGGTGTGGTCTACACCACCCCGACCACGTGGTGTGGTGTGGCCTATGCCACCCCGACCACGTGGTGTGGTGTGACCTACGCCACCCCGACCACGTGGGGTGGCGTGGCCTACGCCACCCCGACCACGTGGTGTGGTGTGGCCTATGCCACCCCGACCACGTGGGGTGGCGTGGCCTACGCCACCCCGACCACGTGGTGTGGCCTATGCCACCCCGACCACGTGGTGTGGTATGGCCTACACCACCCCGACCACGTGGTGTGGGGTGGCCTACGCCACCCTGACCACGTGGTGTGGTGTGGCCTACGCCACCCCGACCACGTGGTGTGGTGTGGCCTATGCCACCCCGACCACGTGGTGTGGTGTGGCCTACGCCACCCCGACCACGTGGTGTGGTGTGGCCTACGCCACCCCGACCACGTGGTGTGGTGTGGCCTATGCCACCCCGACCACGTGGTGTGGTGTGGCCTGGGCCACCCCGACCACGTGGTGTGGTGTGGCCTACACCACCCCGACCACGTGGTGTGGTGTGGCCTACGCCACCCCGACCACGTGGTGTGGTGTGGCCCGCACCGCCGCTCAACAGCCACCTTTGTCTCCACGGTGCCGACGTTCACGCGCCGCGACGATTTAAGGCCGAGACGACCCAGGAGAGGCCCGGGACAGGTGCAGGTGTTGCACACTTCATCGAAGCCAACGGCTGGGAGTTGAACCCCACGCTGCTCAGGACGTGGGCGCAGGCGCGGCGCGTGAACTCACCGCTCCGCGTCGCGAGCAGACACAGCAGAGGTGGGACAAAGTCATTGTTATGCAAGTCCAAGTCGAGTCTGAAGTCATCAAATTCATGACTCGAGTCTGACTCGAGTCCAAGTCACATGACTCGAGTCCACACCTCAGAGGTGGGACAAAGTCATTGTTATGCAAGTCCAAGTCGAGTCTGAAGTCATCAAATTCATGACTCGAGTCTGACTCGAGTCCAAGTCACATGACTCGAGTCCACACCTCTGAGACACAGCCACGCGCGCAGCCACAGGTGAGAAGCGATTTAATTTCTTTGATACTTTACGTAAAAATAGGCTATAAAACGTCCCAAGCATATTCACATTATATTGGCATGACTGCAGTAAAACCTTACTTACTTAAATCGAACCGCCGCGTCGTGCCCCACGGAGGCACGACGCACGCGCCGCTCTCAAGGTGCCGCCAACGATGGCCGGTGACTCGTCTTCAGTCTTCTTTTATCGTCGTCGTTGTCGTTGGTGAGCAAAACAAAATCCCGCTCCCCCCCCAAAAAAAATTAAGCCAACGTACGCTCACGCTATTGTATCGCAAACTGTGCACCTTTTGTCGAACACGTGAAATCACGTAAAAAACCAAGGTTGCTTTACGTGGCGCTTTGCAACTTTTCGTTTGTATGTCCCAGCTTCGTCGATGAAGGCACGGGGACCGGCCACACCGCGTCCGCGAGCCGCGAGGGACGCGACAGGAATCCACCAGGCCGCAGCGGGCCCCCCCCTCTCCGCTCGGCCCGCCGTGCCCGCCACGGGCCCCACAAGCTGGCTCCACGGTTGCCGTTTAACACTGCGTATTATAATAATCATTATTATTACTACAATAAATTCTGCTCGAACGTTCCAAAGTCATTGTCCGAAGGTTAAAAGTGCTTTTCATTGTGGGGCAGCATGATTCTTCTTTCTTTACATTTCTTGTCACCGCGCCGCTCCTCAAAATTTATTCCTGCAACAGAAACAACAACAACACATGAAAATTTTGCATTTTTAAAAGCCAGGAATTGGCACGTACAGCAATTGTTATTATTTTGAACGCTTTAAATGTTGGAGAGGTTAATACTGCATAGGCACAATGACACTAAATGGGCATAAAGAGCACAATACGTAACCTGCTCATGCAGCAATGTGACATTGCACTTAATATAAATATACATTGTAAATTGCACTGTGATTGATATAGTGGAGCGCGCTGCGCTGCGAACCTGGGAGCCCGAGTTCGATTCCAGCACACGGTCACCAACACCAGTGACGATTATCTGAACCGGTCCCGGGGCTCTCCTAGGTCGACTCAGCCTCAAATGACTACCTGGTGCGCTGTGTAAACATCGCCACTAGAGAGACAAAGGCGGCCGGACATGGTGCTAGCCACCCACCCCCTCGTGTGCCGTTCCAGATTTAATAGGTGCTCCCTAACAGCACTTTCCCCAACATTCTGTTTAGGCTATACGGGGGATCTTTGTCTATGCTACAGTGTGTTGGAGTAAGCCGACACAAGCATTGTATTGGCTCATGAGCTATCCTGGTCGAGCTGGCTAATGTCTACTCTTTTAGGTATAAATTCAGGGTGAAATATAACGCTTAACAACTGCTCTGGAAAAGTTGTAACCGTGTCTTAAATGGGCTGATTTAATCTCCCGGTTAAATAAATAAAACTCAAGGCTCCAGAGGGTTTAAACTCCGGTCAGAGTCCACAACAATCATCATCATCGTCGTCGTCGTCGTCAAATTGGTAAAACGATGACCGCCTGACTGTCATATGCAGCGGCTGCACCTCGCACCGTGACAACGTGGAGTTCCCACCTCGCACCGTGACAACGTGGAGTTCCCACCGCGTGCTCGTGACCACCAAACGAGATCAAACCGTCGCCAACTTCCGATTAGAGGCGGGTGGGGGCTGGTGGGGGTGGGGCTGGTGGGGGTGGGCTGGTGGGGGGTGGGGACTGGTGGGGGGTAGAGACTGGTGGGGGGTAGAGGCTGGTGGGGGGTGGGGGCTGGTGGGGGGTGGGGACTGGTGGGGGGTGGGGACTGGTGGGGGGTAGAGACTGGTGGGGGGTAGAGGCTGGTGGGGGGTGGGGGCTGGTGGGGTAGAGGCTGGTGGGGGGTGGGGGCTGGTGGGGTAGAGGCTGGTGGTTTAGAGGCTGGTGGGGTGGGGGCTGGTGGGGGGTGGGGGCTGGTGGGGGTGGGGGCTGGTGGGGTAGAGGCTGGTGGGGGGTGGGGGCTGGTGGGGGGTGGGGGCTGGTGGGGTAGAGGCTGGTGGGGTAGAGTCTGGTGGGGGGTGGGGGCTGGTGGGGGGTGGGGGCTGGTGGGGGGTAGAGGCTGGTGGGGTTGCTGGTGGGGGGTGCTGGCTCTACATCAGCAGAGTTGTTTTGTACGGCGCTCAATAATCGCCGTCGACTTGCGCCGGGAGCGTGCGGGCTGGGCGATGCGTGGCATCGTGGCTTGGCTTTCAATTTCATCTGAATTCAACACGTGGCCTCGTCGATTCCCGAGCCCAGGGGCACGCAGCGTTGCGTGTCACGGTTTGCGGAGAAACGACGAGGGGAAGGGCGTGTGGACCCGGGCACCTTCCCAAACTATTCGATGTCATCTGAGAGGGCACGAGCAGCTGCTGTGTATGAAGTGAAACGAGCAAGGGAGGCTTGCTGGGGTGCAAGCGATCGCCCCCCCTCACCCACTTTTTTGCACACAACAACTGCATTAGTGGAGGTGCCTTCTGTGTGTCGAAGGGTTGAACGTTACCGTCCGTGCCAGGGCGTGCAGCCGCCACCAACCGGAGAATCTGCGTTCGTAAACGTAGACACGTGGCGGGGCTTTATTTGTGATTCACACGTGACTTCTGGTTCAGATCTCGTGAGAAGTCAAACAAAGTTGTTGTCGTACACACTCTCCTCCACCCGACGCGGCCAATTAATTGATGTTGCCGCGTGAAACAAGGCGCCGGTTTATTGCGTTCCGCTCGTCGTCACAAACACGTGGCGGACACGCCGTGTCGCCAGTGCCGGGTTGAGCTCGTGCGGGGCCTGTAGCATATGTTGCTATAAAGGGGCCCTCAATAAATAAATACACTCATAAATATTTAAATACACATTTTTTTTACTCGCATAGTAAAGTAATTGTATTTTTCTCATTTTGCTATACGGCCAGATAATACGACAACCTTAAACACCCAGTCGTTCATAAAAGTTGAAGGTGGTATGGTACTATAGTAATAGAGCAAGTGCAGAATCACTGAACCGGAATTGATAGCTTGAAAGCATTTAGCGTGGGGCCCTTGAAAGTGCGGGGCCCGTAGCTACTACATATGTAGCTACTACATATGTAGCTACTTGTGCTCCTAGGATAATCCGGCACTGCGTGTCGCAGGTGGGTCAGTGAGAGATTACGACCCGGTTCAGTGACAAATCGCGACTCGTGCCATTGTCGGCGGGTCTCTCGGTCTCCGGAGCAGCAACTCAGGCCACCACGTGACAAACGGTGAGTCTCAGGCTGGCAAATCTGTTTCTCATGTTCCCTTCAACATTTTCTGTTTTCCTTCCAATTGCATTGCCACTGTGCCATGAGCGCCACTGGCACGAAACAAACCCCGCTTACAATTGAAATGTCACCCCCAGAAGTTGACATCATAGCACGACCGTATCTTTTTTAAAGTCGCTTTGATAAATCCGTGAGAGCGCTGAAAGTTTAAAGTTTCTTAAATCTCACATCCCTTCCACCTCCATCCACCTCTGTCCACCCAGACGTTACAAATGGGTTCACAACAACATGGTCGCGAGTGGTGGAGTAAGGTGTGGGTAGTGCACCTCCAGAACTTCACTTTGGTGTTTGGTGTCCTTCCACCGCACCTCCGATTAGCACGGTTGGCTACGTACGGTGCAAAATAACTTCAACTTACATACATGCACAGGAGTGAGCCTGAATGTTTTGAACCGCAGCAGATATTTCATTCGAGGTTGTCAACATTTCGTGGCCGTAACTATAGCCCGCCCGAGGAGATTGGAAGCTTCGTGTGGAGTGACAGGCCAGGTAGCTTCCAAAACAGCACTACACAGCTGATTCGGAGTGAGACTTCTGTTGCCGAGCCGGTGCGACGGAACGTCAACACGCACACACTCTACCGACACAGTCTGGGCCTGTGTGGAAGAGTGGGCCTAAAATACCCTCTCTGGAGGCGACGCTCGTTTAGAGCTCACCGTGGTTGAGACCACCTCCCCGCCAGCGGCGGTGCGCGAGCGCGCGAGGGATGGAGCGACCGCCACCTTCGCTGGCGGCCGACGAGCGGCAGCAGTGGCTCCAGCTGCGACGCGGCTCCCTACAGGTGTGCGAGCAGGTGGCGCAAACGTGTCGTTCCCGCCGCGACGGAAGGGGGAGCCGCTGTAACCCAGCCTCGGCGGCGGTGGCAAGATAACTGGAACGCTTATCCCCGGTCCTCCTGGAAACTGACCCCCTCCCTAACCACGGGCCTGACCCCCTCACTGTGACCCCACTCGCATTCTACTTGCAAAGGCCCACGGAGTCGACGGCCACGATCGGGGAGTGCCTGACGAGGTCTCTCCGTCAGAAGCCATTTTTGTGATAAACGTGATGTTGAACTTCTTTGGCGCCGTACGCGGCCAACCGTGCTAATCAGAGGTGCGGTGGGAAGGACAACGAATTAAAGACAAAAATAAAACTGTTTTAAATGAACGAGTTTTCAATCCAGGTATCAACCGAACCTTGCCGTTCAGCCCCGCCCTCTGGGAAGCGACAGGCAAATCGAACGGTTCCCAGACAAGTTTGGCGCAGAAATGCTACTAACTATTATTTACATTTTTTATTTCACCAGGTAAGGCCCACTCAGCTATGTAGCTCTTTTTTAGAAGCGACCTGGCCGTAAATGATAGCTCAACGAAGTGGCTTATCACGTGGAAATTTATAGCAGCCAAATACTCTAAGTGTGGAGGGAAAAACCGGAGGACCCGGAGAAAAGTCTACGTGACCACGGGGTGAGATCCACACAAACTCCAAATATATAAGCATCAGGATGGGGATCGAACCCACGACGTCCTGTATATCAGGCGAGGTAGTTAACATCTCTCCACCGTGATGTTAACTTCCGTAAAACGCCTTTACCAATTGGCACAATTCATCGGTTAGTTCACGACCTGTTTGGGCAATCGACTGTGATTATTCATTGCACGGATTATTAAACTCAGTGCGCTTATTCAGACGAGGGCCATTTCGCTCGGACCTCTGAGAGATCTGCATAAACACACGGATTCTTCCTCTCTTGACACTCAATGCCAAGTTTAGTTTTTTCAAATTGGCCGTGCGTATCGGGGCCACTGATGGTTTTCACATCCGCGCACAAGTGGTGTGGAGTGGCTGCGTGGGTAACAGAGGGGGGGGGGGGTAATTGCCATGTCAGAGCCGGTAACACGGACATTTTGAGTTTGAATTTTGAGCTCCCATTTCTGAAACGGTTGCGAGATGTTAAATCCCTGACGCCTGTACATTTGGAGTTTGGATGTTTTCCCCGTGGTCGCATGGATTATTCTCCAGGTCTTCCCGTTTTCCCCTCCACATTTAGAATCAACATCATGCATTTAGAGTATTTGGCTGCTATACATTTCCACGTGATAAGCCACTTCGCTGAGCTATTATTTGTGGCCAGGTCGCTTCTGAAAAAGAGCTATACGGCTCAGTGGGCCTTACCTGGTAAAATAAAAATAGTTTAGTTTTAGCACCTTAAACTTCACAATCTTATCCTGGTCAACAAAGTCTACAGCAAACAATGCCATTGTATACATTTGTATTTTTGGAAAACTGGACGGTGGTGGAGGCGATGGTTGGTGGATTGCACAAATGTTGTGAAACTCCCTTCCCGTGGCGCGTCGAGGAGCCATATGAAGTCGCCTGCCTTCCCAGGAGAAGGCAGTGACAGCAAACAATGTGGACTCCACCTGTTCT